CAGAAAAAGATAAGATGCAATACCTTTTCAAGGTTTTCCTGATCCTTTTTTGAAAATCCACTAGCAGCAAGTTCCTTGTCTAAGGATCCAGATATAGGTAATATAGAGGAGAAGCTTGGCCTGCTTTCATTTTCATCCGTATTTACATCTGTACCATCAGCCTCATCCGACTGCAGTTCAAAAGTCAGCTTAAATCTGTACAGAGAATTGTGTTGGATCAGAGAAAGTTCAGCATAACGAGTAAATTCTGGCATTATTTTTAAGCTTCCAGTTTCATAAATAATCGAGACTAAGTCAATAGGAACTGCAAAGACATCAAGCCATCACGGAGACAAATAATCTGATTAAAATATTAGAAACTGGAGTTGATGGCAAAATAGAGTTTATACAGCCAAGAAACATGCAGCACATTCTTAATAAAAAAATGATATCAAACTCAGAACAAGAAACACAGAGCATCTTGATAAGAACTCAAAATTCAAAATTCTAGTCTTGCTTAAAGGCCTCCAAGCTCCAACTACCAAAAGAAAACTTCAGAAGTTCAAATCCCTTCACAGGATCCCAAACTAAGTACCTTCAACACTTGCAGCACTTTACATAATTCCATAAATTTGCCAGCTGCCACTAAATACAATGCACAATGGAAAGTTCCAAATACCACATACCACAAGGTGTACAACCAACTATTATGAACACAAACAAATCGCACATTCAGCTATTGTATTGTATTGTACAGAACTACAGACTCCAGACTGAGACTTATACCTAATGTTTCACAAAGAACATCTATTTGCATTTATCATCCATGCATAAAATTCCCATGCCCATAACCAGCAGCCTTGATACAAGCACTATGCCTCCAACTCAAAATGGCATGGCACATTAATCCAGTCCAGGAATAAGTTTTTTTTGTTCTTTAGGGGCATAAAGAGCAAATTTAAAACAAGTAACAAAAAAGTAAAGGGGAGGTCTGGCATAAAAAGATATCATTTCAATCATGCAACCTTGAAAAGCTATATTAACAAATGAAGAGCAAAAAATTATTCCTAGGCAATTGAAAGATCTCACTACCTTTTCCTGAAAAATTTGAAAATGCATTCAACATCACGGTCGAAATACCTGCAAGGCAGAGTAATAATTATTAATATCTGTGGTTGTCAAGAGTATAAGCATAAAAGACATAAGCTCTATAACTTCACTTTGCACACTTGTATTCAAATAGTGAAGACTTAAAGATTCTGGAAAGAATTACGCACATTTGTGCATTCCGATGAGATATAGATACCATCTGTGGGAAATCAATCATAGTAACCTTCTCATCATCATCAATCTACAAGGAAAGAGGACAATTTATCTACTGTCAGTGGAATTGACAGTTGCAAGTCTTGCAACAAAGGTGTAAACAATTGTGTTATCGCATGCAAACTTCATAATTTCATATAACATGTTGTAAAACTAGAAATCTGAACTGCAAACAGAGAAGCAGAAAGCCTGAATGGGTAGGCCCAGTAGTAAACCCAACAATTCCAATTCCCAAATCCCTCAGTAGTGAAATTTGATTTATTTTATTATTATTATTATTATTATTATTATTATTATTATTATTTTGGACAGGAGGGGGTGGGGATGGAAGAAGCAAAGTTGAGTACCATGATATTGAATTCATTGAAGTCACAATGAATAAGTCCATGCTCAGCCAGTCGAACAATTAAACTTATCACAGTATCAAAAATAATATCTGGGTTTTGCAATTCCTTGACCTGCACACTAGATTAAGAAAGAATATGATTAGTATGCATTTGATTTACCTCATATATCCTTGATCACAAACATAATTTCAAAACTTCGAAGATAAGATCAAACCAGAAAAGGAAAAAGAACTGAAGAAGGGCGAGTGGGAAAGTGAGGAAAATAAGATAATAAAGCATAACAATAAGAACTGGTCACTTAAATAAAACTGGCAGTTTAGCACAGATATTGAGGACTATTAAATTTCCAAACTTCCAGTTCTTAGCATGAACCAAGCATACAATTTGAAATGAAAAAGGTTGCCATATGAAAACCATATTGAAAGGATCACCTATAAATCTAAGACCTCAATTCCTCGTTACTGTTTATTAGATTCCACCTCTAATAGACGAATACTACCTTTATTCCAAAATTATGATCCTCATTCTACTTTGACAACGGTAATTAAATCATAGTGTAATTAAATCATATTGTTATGATGGGGAAACAAACGGAAATGGAAGGTTCCAGGTGAAATCATAGACAGTGGAATGGAACATATTAGAATAATAGATATTCATTATAGCTACCAAAAAATTGTTACAGGCTTATCTAGCATGTTTTTTTACGAGACATGTAAAGCAAAAGAGGAATCCTTACAGTGGATAGCCTTGTACAAGGGACATAATCACACAATGTCGGTTGCAATCCAAAGCCTTTGGTACAGGAAAGTCGTGATCTTCCAATGCCTATCAAATTAAGATAACATTAAGCTCAAAACAATGAACCATCAAAACTAGTCAATGAGAGAGCAAACAAGTAGAAATGTGGAACCTTCATAAAAGAAAATTCCTTCAGTGCCGCAAGACGAGACAAGTACAGCCAGTTAGAACAACTCCTGTTTTGCAAATAGTCACGCTTAGACTTCACGGCCCTAAAAGAAACTCTACCCAATCTGTGCAGCTTCATGGCCATAATTGTACCATCTTCATTGGACACTTCAAAGATATCTTGAACCCACAAAAAACACAAACTTGCTCAATTTTTATCACATATTAACAAAACTAAACATAGGGCACTATACATAATACATCAACAGGCATTACCAGATTCCTTTCCAACTCCGATTTGACGGCCAACTGCACAGAAGACACCACGATTGACCAGCGTCTTGATGGCAAGAAAATCATACCCAAGATATGTTAACCTAAAACCATCATCTAAACAAAATACCCACAAATTATATTGAAGAATACAAGATATTACACAACATGAAAAATAATTTAATCAGCAAATGAAAGAGTAAGTGACTAACATTTAGAAGCATCATGATGCAGCAGCTTGTGCTTAAGCAAATTCTTCAGCACTTTATAAGTACCACCATGTCTATAAAATTTCACAAACAAATCAAATCAACCATTAAAATTGAGAATTACCAATGAATTAATTTCACAAAATACAAATAACCCATCAAAATTGAGAATTAAAACAATCATTACTTGAGTGAAGCAATTCGAGCAATGAGTTCAGAAGGGACAATTTCGTGCTGCAACAAAAACCCAAATTAAAAAAAAATAATTAAAATTTGAAAGTGTTTTTTACAATTAAAAGAGGGAAGAAAGAAAGGTGATTGATTACATTACGCATGCCCATCTCAACGGCAGTGAGAACCCGGAAATCATCTTTAGAGAGGTATTTAAGAGCATTAACATCCAACTTCATCTTAGTTCTACTCTAAAATTCTGCTCAAAAAATACTACAAAAAAAATCGAGAAGAAATAACAATGAAGCTGAATTAAATCAACAGTTAAACCCTATATCGATAAATGATTAAAAATAAAACCTTCTTACCTTCTGTTTAGCCGCTTCAATGGAGAACTCAGAGTACGGTTCAATGGAGGAGAGAAGAGAAGAGGGTTAGGAAGGATGATTTTTTTTTTATTTTTTTATTTTTTAAAAATAGGTTAGAATTTAGAATAAACTGAATAGTACAACAAGTCCCAGCCCACTACGTGTAATTAGGCCCAAAAAGCTAAAACCATAGTCCATAAGGATGATTGAAAATTTATCAATCTATCTATCTATTCATCTATTGTCAATAGCTTATAGCTAATTTTGCCATCGTTTTTTGTTTTTTGTTTTCTGTGGTTTTTTTTTTTTAAATAAAACTGAAAACAAGAAATAGGTATTTTTACTTTTTTATTGTCAGTTTTCAAAATTATCAGGATTTTAATAAATTTGATTTTTTTTTTTAGTAAAACAAAAACCACGGCGATGCTAAACGAACCCTTAATACTTAAAACAAACATCAGATTCAAACAAAAACTTATAAGACTATAATTTATATTATGTATAAATCTCAAACATTATTAGTCAAAACTAGTTAAATGAATATTGCAAGCAAAGCAAATAATAAAATACGGAGAGAGTAAATTGAGATATGTCATTCAAACTTGAGATTAAATTTTGTTTACAGCACTTGTATCTTTCCATACTAAATAATCCCTTCGTTTCTGTTTGTTAATCCTATTTATAATCTTTCAACTATATTAAAAATTAGAGGACATATTTTAATTTTCTCTCTAAATACAAACAAACGTAGTCATTTGAAATCTAGTTTTATTCGTCTCAATGAAAACGTTATTAATATCTAATTTTTTTCAATTTTTGTTGGAGTGAGATTAATATGACCAAAGATTGCATCGATATATGTAAATAACACTACTACTATCTCCGTTTTTTTATTAGTTGACATATTTTGAGTTTAGCATTATTCACACACTTCTCTTTGACCATGGTTCGTGACTTATATGTATTGAAATATATAGTGATGTGGGATTGTGGGATCTTGTTATAATCGTTTCGATATAGTAGTATATTTTTCTAAATATCAACTTTTTATGCTTTTTGCTTATCGGAAATTAAAAATATTAATGGTTGAATTTGTATATTGACGAAAGTGACTAAAAAAACGTGTCAACTAAAAAGAAATGGAAAAAATATTACGAAAGGGAAGGAGTAAAAAATAGGGTAATAGGACTACATATAAGCATTTAATATACTTCATTTTACGAATAAATCGGGTATAATAAATGTTTATTTATTTTTAATTCTTTTCAATTTTTAGCTTAAAAATATATACCGTGAAAGTAGTCCAAATAAATCACTTTAGTACAGTTAATACCCTTACATCAAGAACATTCTGCTAACGTAAGCCATGACACATTCAAAAGAAAATCCTAGACTCTACGTCTATAACTAGAACTATCAACTTAGGATTCTCCACACATTTCTTTTACTCTCCAAAACCCTTTATAAACACCCTTCAAAGTTCAAACCCACCTTATTAAAAACATATTCCGTAGTAAACTCCCTTAAAATTCATTTTTACCTCAAACAAAAAAAAAAAAATGGCAACAAACGATGAAGTAAAATTGTTGGATTTCTGGGCAAGTCCATTTGGAATGAGAGTGAGGATAACATTAGCTGAAAAAGGAGTGAATTATGAATACAGTGAACAAGATTTGATGAATAAGAGTGAATTACTCTTTAAGATGAACCCGGTTCATAAAAAGATACCGGTTCTGGTTCATAATAATAAACCGGTTTGTGAGTCTCTTATCATTGTTCAATACATTGATGAAGTTTGGTCTGATAAAGCTGCTTTGATGCCGTCTGATCCTTATCAGAGGGCTCAAGCTCGTTTTTGGGCTGATTTTGTTGAGAAGAAGGTAATTCTTAAAAAAACTCAACTTTTTTTTTTCATTAAATTTCATGCTTTATTTTTATAAGCTTGTATCTTGTCAAGCGGTCTGATTATTGGAGATTATTTATGTTTTTAAAGTCGATAATTAAAGGATTTTGATTAAAAGTAGTTAAATTGCTCACTATATCGGTTAAATTGTTTTGTCCAAACAACACATCATATTCAAGGGTAGTTGAAATAATAGCACATAGAATTGTTCAAGATTCTTTATGTAACACTATGTACTACCTCCATTTTTTATGATGTGCAACAAAGGAATATTTTATGTCTCACAAATAATACACCTTTGTTGCACATGATAAGAAACGGAGGTAACATGTTATTGCTTGATGCTTGATGAGTGTGATCGAATGACTAGCATAACTATATATCCTTATGTGTGACACACATACAGATTTATGATACTGGGAGGAGAGTTTGGACCACTAAAGGAGAAGATCAAGAGGCGGCGAGGAAGGAATTCATTGAGCATTTGAAGCTATTGGAGCAAGAGCTAGGAAACAAACCATACTTTGGAGGTGATAAATTTGGGTTTGTTGATGTTGTTTTCATCCCATTCTATAGTTGGTTTTACGCCTATGAAACATTGGCTAACTTCAAGATTGAAGAATCTTGCCCAAAAATCATTGAATGGGCTAAAAGGTGCATGCAAAGGGAAAGTGTGGCTAAAGCTCTTCCTGACCAAAACAAGGTTTATGAGTTTATTTTGCAGTTAAAGAAGAGGTTGGGTCTTTAGAGAAGTTGGTTTTTTATGTTGCATTGTATGGTTTGGTGAGAGTAATAATGTAGTACGTTATACGTATATGTCATGTATGTGTTGGTTTAGCTGTATTTGTATTAGTACGTGGCATTAATGTAATAGATTTCAAGCGAGTTGAGACTCCATTTATTTGAAAACTAAGGCGTATATTGTCGTATGAATAATGATGTAACTTGAGTACGTGTTTCTAGTCTAGTGTCTCTTGTTAAAACAAAAAGATATATATATCTAAAATAAAAGATATTTACTAAAAGGAAAGGGGACTGTGATGAGAAAAATAATATCAGAAAATAACACGTGTTATTATCGGTGTCTGTTTTTGGTATTTTGCTCTCACTAATCGATGATTATCAATTAGAGTACTACCCTTACATCAAGAACAATATGCTAACGTAAGCCATGATGACACATTCAAAATAAAATCCGAGACTCTTACAACTCTACGTCTCTACTATCAACCTTGGAATCTCCACATGCATTTCTCTTTCACTCGCCAAAACCCCTTTTGGCCCTTTATAAATACCCTTCAAACCCACCTTATTAAAACCACAAATTCCCTATCGTTAATTAACTTTAATTACCTCAAAAAATTTTAAAAATGGCAACCAATAATAATGAAGTAAAATTGTTGGATTTTTGGGCAAGTCCATTTGGGATGAGAGTGAGGATAGCATTAGCTGAAAAAGGAGTGAATTATGAAAATAGTGAACAAGATTTGAAGAATAAGAGTGAATTACTACTTAAGATGAACCCGGTTCATAAAAAGATACCGGTTTTTGTTCATAATAATAAACCGCTTTGTGAGTCTCTTATCATTCTTCAATACATTGATGAAGTTTGGTCTGATAAACCTGCTTTGTTGCCTTCTGATCCTTATCATAGGGCTCAAGCTCGTTTTTGGGCTGATTTTGTTGAGAAGAAGGTAACTCATCTTTAACTTTTTTTTCCCTTTATATTTCATGTTTATTTCATCAAGCTAAAGGAGATAATGCGTGTGTGCCTAATATAAGTAATCTATACTACCTCCGTTTCTTTTTAATTAATTGACACATTTTGACTTTAGCACTATTTATTCACCTCTATTTGACCGTATTTTGTGCTTTATACATAATGAAAAATATAGTCATGTGGGATCTTGTTAGATTCATCACGTTATATGCTTTTAAATATCAGTTTTTTTTTATAATTTTTGCATCGATAATTAAAGATATTAATGATTGAATAAGTGCATTGACAAACGTGACTAAAGAAATGTGTCAACTAAAAAGAAACGGAGGAAGTATATATTAAGCTTGATTATTCTACGTTTTTTTTCTCATAAATATTATCTCATTAATCCTAAGTAAAAAATATTGGTGGGTAATATTAAAATAATATGTTATTAAAAAAATATGTTGATGATGTCATGTACGCTATATAATAAAATAAGAGGGGTATTTTGGAAAAGTAAAATTTATCACCCAAAACTTCCTCCACTTTTTACTTTAGTCTAATTGGAGATTATTTATTATGTTTTTATAATCAATATATAATTAAAGGATTTCAATTAAAAGTTGTTATGGTTATATTTATAAGCTAAGGGAGTATTTGATGACTCCTTGTTTATGGGTCAGAAAAAATTAAGTTGGACATTACTACGTCTACCTAATTATAAAATGCTGAGTTTGATTTCACTACTACGGTACCACTACTCTAGCTAGTTAAGGACCACCATAATCAAAACAATTTTTGCCTATCATTATCATAGCAGCTACAAGCCGTGTTTTGTACGTCTTGTTGTAATGTTAAAATTTACTTCTTCAGTTGATATTATTTACTACCTCCGGTCCAAATTACTTACAACTTTGGGGTATTATTTGTGAGATATTAAATATTTCAAAGTTGCGAGAAATTTGGACCGGTGGTAGTATAACAATTTAACATAAAAGTAAAGAGGAAAAATATTTACTCGTTTAAAATAAAATGAAACGAAGGTAGTAATTGTTTTGTCCAAACAACACATCATATTCAAGGGTAGTTGAAGTAGTTATATGGAACAATTAACAACACATACAAAGAATTGTTGTAGGTTCATTTTGTATTTCCTACTTTGTAAGTTAAGTTGGATCAAGATGTATGTCAAACATTGTCATTCCTTTGATCAGATGACTAACATTTGTGACATTCGTACAGGTTTACGTTGCTGGGAGGAGAGTTTGGACCACTAAAGGCGAAGATCAAGAGGCGGTGGCAAAGGAATTCATTGAGCATTTGAAGATATTGGAGCAAGAGTTGGGGAATAAACCTTACTTTGGAGGAGATAAATTTGGGTTTGTTGATGTTGTTTTCATCCCATTCTATAGTTGGTTTTCCGCCTATGAAACATTGACCAACTTCAAGATTGAAGAATCTTGCCCAAAAATCATTGAATGGGCTAAGAGGTGCATGCAAAGGGAAAGTGTGGCTAAAGCTCTTCCTGATATAAACAAGGTTTATGACTTTATTTTGGAGTCAATTAAGAGGTTGGGTCTTTAGAGAAGTTGGGTTTTTTATGCTATTGTAATATTGTTTTTTTATAAAGAAAAATGGTAAGGAGAAGAAACTTGACCAAATCTTTAGTTTGAAAGTGACGGAGAAGGGTAAGAAATATTTTGAAAGTGACGGGGGAAGGGTAAGAAATTTCTAGTTTTACACCCCTTAAAGTGCCTCTAGTGGGGATTGAACCCCCAACCTCAAGGTTGGAAGGTACAATCCTTACCACTTAGTATATTGTAATATTGTACGTATGGTTTAGTGAGAGTAATACTCCCTCCATTTTTAAATACTTGCTCCATTTCTTCATGCGCGGAGTTTTAGGAGAAATTGGAGAAAGTAATAAAATATAGAGGTAGTGGGGTAGTTGAGAGAATAAAAAATTGTAAAAAACAAAAGTAGTGGAAGAATATGAGGACAGAGAGTATTATGTTGGGTCCACTAAGTGTGAGAAATGAATTAAATATTGTAAAAGCTTTCTAAAAAAGGAAATGGAACAAGTATTTAAAAACGGCCGGAAAAGGAAAGTGGAGCAAGTATTTAAAAACGGAGGGAGTACTCCGTAGTCATGTAAAACGTTATACGTGTATGTCATGTGTTGGTTTAGTTGTATTTGTATTAATACGGGACATTAATGTAATAGAATTCAAGTGAGTTGAGACTCGATTTAAATTTATTTAAAAACTTAAGGTGTATATTGTCGTATGAATTATATAATGATGTAACTTGAGTGTTTCTAGTCTAGTGTCTCTTGTTAATCCGTACATTTTGTCTGTGTTAAATATTACTCCGTACTATACCAGTTACTTTGTCTCGTATTTACTTGCATGTACTTATTTTAATTTACATGATGAGTTAATTACTTTTATCACTTTAGTGTTCTTATTTAAATGTTGCTTTCTTTAACAAAGCTGTTACACATGTGAGATATCGGAAAATATATGACTAACGAACGCTTTGAAACTTTTTCTTAAATTAATCGATTACATTAGAGTTTTTTCTTTTTTTGAGGCAAATCGATTAAATTAGAGTTAGGGCATGTTCTCTTACGTTGAAATTCAATTCAATTCAGTTCAGTTCAGCTTAGTTCAGTTCACTTCAGCTCAGTTTAGCTCCTAATTTCCTTCTCATATAAATTATTCATTTCAGTTCAGTTCAGTTCAACTCAATTCAATTCACTTCAGTTCAGTTCAGTTCAGTTCAACTGAGTTCAGTCAATGAGAACAGACCCTTAGTTGCTCTTTTATTTAACTAAAAATATGGTTTACTGAGTAGATCGAACTTGTTACTCCGTAGTTACTAAAACTTGGATTAATGAAATTATATAATCTGTTAACCCATCTTCAATCTGTTAGGATTTTATCCAACAAAAAAAATAATCTCCTGATAATTATCATCATTATTGCCTGACATGCATGGAGCCATGGAGGACTTCACGAGGAGAATATTATTTTACATTTGAAGAGAATAAGATTTTTGTTTTTTTTTTTTGAGGGATTGAAGAGAATAAGATAGGAAGCTGATATTACCAAAACTCACATAATATAAAATATAAAACTCTTGCGTGAGCTTGAAAGTAAAAAAAATAAAACTCACATAATATAAAACTCACATAATGCCTAATTTTAATCGGTATTGTACCAATATCATATTGTGTAGTGATTTTACTATCTCAGTCTCAAAATTAATTGCATGAGTATTTCTTATTTGGTGTCTCAAAATTAAGCATTTGTTTCAATTTTTAGTTTTTGTATACTACCCAGTACCTACATACCCTCACTTTTTACCTTTTAATATACTCTTTAACAGTGCCGGGGCTAAAATTGCAAATTATTTTTGGGGCCCTGTTCAACTTTTTAAAATGGGGTCTTCTACTCGATAAATTTAATACCCAATTTTTATTTGATAAAAAAATTCGTTACATCAGAAAATTCGTCAAAATTAAATTTTCCTGCTTAGCACTGTGCAAATGTGTTGTCTCTGCTTTTTATCTGTAGTGCATTCCATTAACAATATTTTGCTGATGTTATGCTTCTTGATTCAAAATGTGATACGAAGTATTAAGTTCTGTCGTATTAGTTCTAGTCCTTCACTTTTTTTATTTGCTATGTTGTTATTATGTATTGTAGAATACTAGAATGTTATTTTGGTTAGTAGAGACCTTTTTATATCTAGTCTTTAAGTCACTAATTTTCTGGGTAAAATGAAGTTCAATCAACAATTTATCAACTGGGTTTTCTATTTTAAGAGAGAAAGAGTGAAAACAGAAGAATCACAAAAAACTTGGCAATTTAATTAATAGGGAAATTCTCTCTCATATAACAACAAACAAAAATCCCCATTTAAACACAACGTACATTGCATTTCCTCATTTTCAATTCTACCCAGTTCGGTATTAACCTCAAATTCAACAATATTGCACTAAAAATTCCCCAGAAAAAAATAAATAAAAACAATAAAATTAAACCTGTTAACCTGTTTTAAATTGCAAAAGCCTTCGTACACAGCAAGCGTCGAATCGAAAGTCTTCACCAATGACAAAACCGTTGAAATTATGAACCAATATGGGGAAAAATAATTTTGGGAGATGAAAAAATTTGAAAATTAATTGAATAATTGAAGAAAATGAAGATAATAATAGAAAGTAATTAAGAAAATATAGAGTTTTAGAAGATATAGAGTTTTTTTGGAATTAGAATAGTAGATTGAAAATTTTTTGGGAAAAAAAAAATCTGAATTTTTGGAAAAAAAATTGGGTTTGCTGGTTTAATTGGGCGGAGGTTTCTAGAGGGAGGCTACATTCAATGTACTAGTATTTGGATGAATTCGAAGCCAACTGTCAGCTCCCAAAAAAAAATAGAAAATTGTATTATGAATGTCTCAAACCCAAGACCTTGTATACACAATACAATTGCTCTAACCACTACACCAACTGCAATTTCATAATATTATATCAAACTTAATTACATATATCTATATTTTGGGGCCCCTCATATTTGGGGGCCCTGTTCCGTCGACCACCTCGCTCCGGCCCAGAACCGCCTATGCTCTTTAACTTTTTACCTTTAAATATACTCTTAACTTATTCCGGTTATGCTTAAAAACTATCAAAAGTAGTGTAAAACTTAACATTATTACGAAATATAAAATTTGGGTCAAATCGGGTTAAATTCAAATTCTTTAGATTTGGGTCGGATTTCTCTCAGTTTCTTCGGGTCGAGATCAGTTCAGAGATTGTCAGCCCTATTTGTAATGGTAAGTTGAAAATATATCCACCGTCAACGTGGCGAGTATTTCATTTGATAGAAAAAAGAGAAAAAAAATGGATGGACGAAAACTCGAAATTAATGAAGCGGAATAAAAAAATTAAAAAATAAAATAAAATAAACTTCCGAATCAGCATTCTCCAGAACCTTCCTGCGCCTTATAAGGCTATTCCCCACCACAATTTTCAGTTTTCCACAAACTTCCGCATTTTAGAGAGAGATAATCTTCTCCATTCTCAATTTCTCATCAAATCTCACAATCTCAGAAATTTCGATCAATCAGTTTTTCACGGTTAGTACTGTTTAATTCTTGATTTTGATTTGAGTTTTCATGTTCAATTGTTGTGTTCTGGATTTTCCTGGTGAATTTATTATCAAGAACTTTCGACTTGTTTAGGGTTTGTAATTTGTGGGCTTTTTAATGTTAATGACATGTAATTAGATTTGATTTGACTGATCGTTTCAATTTAAAATCAATTGTTGTAGTGTTGTTTTTACAAATTCATTGATCGTTAGGCAATTTAATTCGAAATCAATTGTTATCTATATTAGGGTTTTGCGTTCATAAGATAGAAATTGCCATCTCATCTTTGGCGTTAATTTTTTGGGGAAGTTCGAGAAAACGTAGAATTGTTAAAAGTAGTTACCTGAGCTATACAGGAGTGAGATTTGCGTAGATATTGAAATCGATTCTTAATTAACCCGGAAGAAAGTTATGCTTTCCCCTTGGTTCGTTAATTTGTAGGAAATCTGTGAATTTTGATAAGGGTATCAGATTCTGGCTTTCCCTTTATAGACTACTAGATAACCTGCCGGAGAGTTTTGCTATCGTCGGGTTTGGTCAAGAGTTGATGGATTAATCTTTGGCAGTGGATAAGCAAATTGATGAATGCGTAATGTTTGTAGTTAACAGCACGAAAAATATACCTATAACTATAAGATATGCTCTGTCTCTAGTATGAATTGGCAAGCAGAGTATTATGTTGCTATATGTTTTTTACCTGGCGTTGCCATTTGATGGAAGTATAACGTAGATTATGTGCATTTGAAATTTAATACTCTGTATGTTGTATAGAAGATTTATAATTTCCCTGAGAACATGTCATTGTATTTTAGAATGCACTGTACAAGATGAGTTTCAGCATAATATTTTATTTGATCCAACAAAATTTTTCCATATCACTTGTGGGATTAAAAGTTTGATTAAATTATTTATGATCCATATAATTGACATGTTATAAGCATCTAATTGCCTTAAGGTTGTAGGGCATGGTATCTTTTCTATCTCTGAAATTCCCTAGTTACGCAGATGATATTGAAACCTTTTGGAACTATTTTAGTAATATATAAGTACGTAACTGTGTGAGTTCTCTGTTGATATTCGATATGGTTTCTTGGTTGTATTACTGGTGATTTTATCGACTGTTGGAGTGTTGGGAATAAGTGAATAACTTGTTTGTGAAGTTGCTGTACTTGACCTTCTATTTTAGTTTCTAGAATCTTAATTTTCGTACCTGTAACAGATGTCTTACTCCAGACGGGATGTTCGTTCACCATCGCCGTACAAGCGGTACGGTCGCTCTATGTCGAGGTCCTTGTCTAGATCAAGGTCATCGTCAAGAAGTCGATCAAGGTACTCATCTTTCGTTGATATGTATTTTGGACCTCTGTATTTTAATTTCACTTGAAGTATAAACAGAGTAACAGCAGCAATGTTGATGATATTTATGCGCTTTTGTATGTGGCAGGAGCCGTGAAAGCAGTGTGGAGAATCCTGGCAATAATCTGTATGTGACTGGATTGTCGACACGTGTCACCAGAAGAGAACTTGAGAAGCATTTCTCAAGTGAGGGAAAGGTGATTATATATTTTGCAGTTTTTGCGAGCTTTTAGAATGGGGCATTATATGGTCAAATAAATTGAATTGAAAAGCAATTGTGTTTCTCTTTATGAGCTCGAATGCTAGCAGATTCTGTTTGGGTCTATGGGACCTTAGGCTATTTTTTACTGTTATTATTTCTACTTGCCCTGTTCCCTAATGAATGACATTTGCAGGTTGAGGATGTTCACCTCGTGACAGACCCATGGACCAAAGAATCACGTGGTTTTGGTTTTGTGACTATGTCCTCTCTTGAGGAGGCAGATCGTTGCATTAAGTATCTGAATCGCTCTGTGCTTGAAGGGCGTGTCATCACGGTTGAGAAGGTATAGATTTATTTTTTATTTTTACATATTAGTTCCCTCCCCCTCAGCAGATTATCCTCGTATCAGCAGAGCTCAGCATTTCCCAAGGATTGGTATTCTTTCAAGCACTAGTATTATTTAGAGCTTTTATGATTGCCATGTTTATGTTTACAGCTTATGATGTATCAAGATTGGTATTTGTTTTTGTTGGCATGTTAAGATTGAAATCTGTTTGCTTCTTGTCGCCTGAAGTTTTTGTGGCAGCTACAGGTTAGCTGTGTGTAGCAGCTCTTCACCAAACTACACAACTATCAAATCAATCCAAGCAAATCAAATTTCAGACTTTATATCAGAGGTTTGTATGCCCTGCATTTCTCTCTTTGCTGTTGAGTTTAGCTGTGTGCTATTATTGCTTATTTTGTTAGTTCCTTGGCTAAGAAGTCTTCTTTTCCCAAAACCGTAATCTGCTGCTTAGTGGACATACATAGGGTCCCAGGTTATCCAACTGTTAACTAACACTCAGTCCACAAATGCCTATTTCAGGCCCGAAGAAGGAGAGGTCGCACACCAACACCAGGAAGATACTTGGGGTTGAGGACATCTCGCAGTAAGAGTCCTTTCCTTTGTCTTGAGTTTTTGTTATCTTTTTCTGTACCAAGTACCAACTGGTTTGCAAACTGTTTCCTTTATATCCTCTATTCAGGTCGTGGCCGTTCTACTTATGCTCAAGGTCTCTCTCTCCATACTACAGGAGATCATCAGTTGGTAGGCGACGCTATGATTATTCTCCTGATGAAAGGTACTACAGAAGAAGGCGCCGGAGTTACTTCCGTAGCTTCTCACCCAGGGGAAGGAGCTACTCACGCAGTTATTCTCCGAGACCAAGGAGAAGTTCAAGGAGGAGCTACTCTCGGAGTTACTCACCTAGACCAAGGAGAAGTTCACGAAGGAGTTACTCACCTAAGCCTAGGAGAGGCTCAAGGCAGAGCTACTCCCGTAGCTATTCACCAAGGCCAAGGAAGAGTAGCAGGAGAAGCTGTTCTCGCAGTTTATCAAGAAGCCCCAGTAGGAGTGTTTCCTATTCCCCTAAGAAGTGTGACCGATCCCTTGATAGTCACTCATCCAGAAGCTACTCGGGTCACAGTGCTCCCTCCAGATCTAGGTCTCTTTCAAAATCTGCTAGTCTAAGGTCTCCTTCACCGTCTACCTGAACAGACTGGTTTCATTGTGTAGAATAAACTCTAATATGATGTTCTCTTAATTAATTTAGATACTTGTCCAAGGCTGAAGTTGACTACCTATTTAGGCTTTTTGATTACTCTCTTTCCATTGTATTATATGTGTATCTGGAACTTGTTGGGTTTTCTAAACCAGTGAAATTGTATTGTGAAGCGGCTTGCAGTTAACCTTTTGTTGGCGTTTTAATTTGTAGCAGACTGAAGTTTAAACTCGGGTTTCTTATATGTGGAGCTATTAAAATAGTACGCAGTACATATTATTGAAAACAGGAGAATTAGAAGCAATATTGCAAGTCACTACTATACCGGATTACGGGGGCTATTATGTGCTACAAATAAACAATCTCCTTTATAAGCTTGGGTTAAAAGTAACATGATTTCCATTGAATAATGCATCATGCATTTGAGTTTCAACCCGATTCTTTATTAGTAGAGTTCATACTCTGTATATAACAACAGCTTTGATGGTTTGGGTAAATCTTATTACTAGTAAAAGAATCCTTTGATCTGTCGTTTAATTTATTAAAAGAATCCTATGATAATTTAGGCTTTGGGGTAAAGGATATAAAAGCATCGTTAAAAATGCATATCAATTTTCATACTATATGATGTGTCTGATACTAGCATTATAATAATTTCAAAGCTTGAACCAAACTTTGTTGAAACTGACTTCAAACCTTTGACGGAACAACATTGTTCGTGTCCAAAACTACTTAAGAGTAACTACGCTGACATCCATACTAAAAAGTACAAATATTATGTAAATATACAAGTGAACTTTGTTGAACAATATAGCTTAAACAACTGGAAGACAATTTCTGCGTTTGATTAAATTAAATATTGGAAGGTATGGAATCTTGAATCAATGATCTTTATAGTAAATCAACAGCATGAAAAGATGATACACAAATTAGATAAATATGGGTTTAGGCCTAGCTTTATTTTAATGAAGTAACCACTTGTTCATGGCACTTTCTGGTGCTACTAAATCTATATTTCAGTACATAAAACAGTTCCAAAGTCGCCACTAATTACACTTGCAGCATCACACAAATGACTAAATGAGTAGACAACTAGACGTCTTCAGATCATTTCATCCCTGCAGTCCTGCAGATAATAGAAATATTTTAAGCAAACACTGCATTAGATAAGAAAACATAAAATTGAGTCCACAAAATAAGAAACAAATACCCTCTTTAATTTACAGGGCATTCTTCTATGTTCCATATCTCCTTTGCATATTGTGCAATTGTCCGGTCACTGCTAAATTTGCCACTCCCAGCAGTGCTTAGTATAGACATCTTCAGCCATTTCTTTTGGTCCCTGCAGATGACACAAAGAAATCGGCAAAGCTAAGCAGCAGATCAATTATGGGAAGAAGAGAATGGTTCAAGGGCACCCTGCTGAGTTGGTATAGTAGGGTGGCTCTTTGAAGTGTACAAGGGCAACGCTTTGCCAGGAGGTGAAAAGGCTGAAAAATAGACGTATTTAATATTTATTAACAAGGCTGAGAAGTCTCTAGGCTCATAGTAACAGTATATATGAAGACCTAGGAAGCAAGGAGAAATTGCAAGAAGATGTGACATCACATTTGGGACTTTAAGCAATCAGTGTGGTGTTGGTGCAACTCTTTTACAAGTTACAGCCAGGAAGTTTTTATTGTCTTCAGTCTTCACAAATTACGACAAAAGATCAATATATCAACCAAATGAGCAACGAAAAAGTAACAAAAAAAGCCAAGGAACTTTACTTGTATGCTTCATCAACTTTAGCCTGAGCATCCATGTAACTAGGAAAATCATGACCAACAAGGAAATAGTCTCCACGACCATAGCCAGTATTGCCTTCAAGAGAATCGAGGAGAGGATTATAGTCATAGCTTCCAAAAGCTCCAGATCTTATAAACTCTTTAGCCTCTTCAAAGCGAGGATCTGGTTTGAACTGCACCATCAAATACCATAGTTTCAGGTCAAAAGCAAGGCATGGAAGTGTGAAACATGATACTAAGATATAATATATGCATCATCTCTACATAACTTTAAAAAGAGCTAATTTCTTGGGAAGTTATGTTTGGATAGATATTCAACATTTTCCAAATTCTGTAGATCTATCTTTGATCCCCCCCCCTCCTTGTTTAATTTCCCTTGATTTAGTGTATAGTATATTAAGGTCATGCATCTGAGTAAGACAGAAGCTAACTGCTAAACCAAATTGGTCTGGTAAAGAGGTCAGTCATCAGCTATCCATGTTTGCAATCCAGAAAGATTGCACATCGCTACAGAGTACAAAAAGTTTCAGGGAAATTATCAATAAGTAAGAGTAGATACCAATCCATTCTCCCTATCCTTACGGAGCTTTGGCACTTCATCTGCCGTTGCTCCAAAGAGAAAGAAATTATCTTCTCCTATTTCTTCTCTGATTTCAACGTTGGCACCATCCAGTGTTCCTATGACGAGGCATCCATTGAGGGCAAACTTCATGTTACTTGTTCCACTGGCTTCCATGCCAGCAGTGCTGATATGCTGTGATAGCTCACTTCCAGGAATGAGCATCTCTGCCACAGATACGTTGTAGTTCGGAACAAAAACGATCTGAATTATACAAAAATAGATAAAGTAAAAATCTTGAGAAGATCATTGCTATAAGGAAGCTCACACAAAATATAACAAAGTGGCTGATACTGAGTCGTGCACAAGTTAGGAATAAGGTAATTATCTCCTTTTCCCTACTTGTTTTATTTTATTTTATCATTATTTAATCCATCCTCTCTATTATTCTGAAAAAATTCACTCCAATGAAGAATGAATGAAATGTTCTTTCAAGGCCACACCATATTTTAAAAAATGACAAATAACATTTACTATTATGTAACAAGCATGACTAATTAGTTCCGCATTAACATCAAATAAGTCACGCAGTTCACTAAAAAAGTGGAGTGTAGTGCAACAATGTGTTGAATTCTTCTCCTCATATAGCTACTGCTATAGTAAAATTCCATAAAGACGAGTTTGGAGTTCTAAAATTAGTAAGTCACTTTAACGAAGATGGATTTTAGTGATTTGGACATTCCCTAGAAGTAATGCAGGTTTTTTTATATCCAACAAATAATTGAAACACGAGAATATGTTTAAATAAAACAAGTAAAAGAACTAAATAAAATGTAAGGATTTCAGTAGCATTCTGCATTCCAAGTGTGATTCCAAACAGAGGTGATGATATATCATGCTGTTCATTACCTTGAGATAATTGTTGACTTCTGGATCAGTGTTGACAACAGAACCCACATCATTTACCAATTTCACTATTCTTTTAGCATTTGTATATGTTGCAAAGGCCTTTCCACCAATCATGATGGTCCTAGGTGTAGCATTACTACGCTCTTCAGGACTCATCTCCTATCAGGGACAACTTAAATAAGAATAGTTGCATTGGAGGATTTGCGACAACCTGAAAACAATGTATGGACTAGTGCGTATTCATGCATTTCTTGTACATACCTTTAACTTCTTGTACATGTAAATTGCACCCAAGATGTTTAGTAGTTGTCTTTTATATTCATGAATTCGCTTGACTTGTATGTCAAAAAGGCTATTTGGGTCTATGCTTACACCTGTAATTTCATGAATATATTGTGCCAAGCGCTTTTTGTTTGCCATTTTGGCAGCAGCCCACTCAGCTTGGAGGTCCTCATTGTCTGCAAACTGTAAACCATATATATGGTTCAGCATCAATCATTATAGTTCAAGAGGTAGTATAAGAAAAACAAATTTTCAATAGTACTTACTTTGCGCAGATTAACAAGGAGATCAAGATTCGTAACCCATTCATCAGTTTTCAACCATTTTGTGATGATGTTACTGAGCTCTGGATTGCAAAATCTAAGCCACCGTCGAGGAGTAATACCATTTGTCTTATTTTGGAATTTGGTAGGCCATATTGAGACATAGTCTGCAAATAATTCTGATGTTAAGATGTCACTGTGCAACTGTGCCACACCATTCACCTGCATAGCATTAGATAGAACCAAGACGAAATCAATTTATTTGCATTTGATTTTCATAATTTTAGTCAAATGAATGTATACATATAGAGCTAGCTTGGTTTCAAAAAAAAAAAATATTCTAGCTCACCGTATGAGAAGTCACCACACACAGATTTGCCATGCACACAACTGACTTTTGTGGATTGTTGTCCAAAATGCACATAGAGTTAACCTTGTCCTCAAGATCAGGCCTTGTGGAATGTATCAACTCCACAAACTGCAAAAAACCATTTCAATGGTTTTGGTGAAAATAAGAAACCAGAAGTAGCATCTTGCAATTCAACTCCAAATAAATGTCACTTTTTTTCAAGGACACATGCTCAACTTATATCTTGCATTCACCATTAATTTGATTTTCCATACCAAACCTTCTTTATTAAGTCATCTTCTAAATAAGTATTGATAAATGATAACAATGTAGCACCATAAAAAAAAATAAAAAAAAAAAAAGAAAAAAAAAGGCCGCTGTAGGACTACTGATGTTGCACTTAGTGATGGTGCTAGAAAACAGACAGACCTACCCGCTTGTCAATTTCAGTTATGATCTCCATATGACGAGGTAGAAGCTTCCACATTACAGATTGTGACCACTTCTCCAGAGCTTCAGGAAGAACTGTGTGGTTTGTGTAAGCAATGGCCCTGTTTTAGTTGGTTTCACAGTCATTATGGAACAGTGCACTTGATATGTGAACAACAGGACTCATATTTAATTGAAAATCACCTGGTTGTCACATCCCAGGCTTCATCCCAACCAAGCCCTTCATCATCCATCAGCAAACGCATAAGCTCTGGAATTGCAAGTGTGGGATGTGTATCATTAAGCTGAACAGCAACTTTGCTTGGAAATTCAGACCACTGCAGAGGTGTCTTTCCCTCCTTCCTCTCTTTAAATCTGAAAATAATATCCTGTAATAGCAGATAAGAAGTCAAATCAATGTACAGACCAAAGGGATCATAATAGGATCTACTGGTAAAATAGTTGTCTCATATGGCATGCTTCAGAGTACAGAAGAATACAGTGAAAATCATTAACCATTGCTCCAATAAATGTTCAGTGAATACATGTTACTCTGAGATTAAGCATTATTAACTTCTAGTCACCAGGATTCCAGCACAAAACTACCTAGGTTCCTACATGGAGTATTCATGAGTGCTAAGAATATATATA